AAGAAAGAAGCAAACACTCAAGCAGAGATATATGTGATTGCTGGAAAAATTCAGATCTCTATAATGTGACACCGTGTCGTCGGGTTCATTTCGGAGGGACGTATTACCTCCAACTAAGGGTCGAAAAGTTCGTCAAGTGAAACGTGCAGCAGGGAAGCAGGGATTCTGCGGACTACAACCAGAAGACAGCACTCCCATTGTTAGCGCAGTCAGAACCTCAGATAGTTGTGATGTTTCTGTTTATCGGCATGTCATCACTTCTGCTCATGTGACGTTGATGCACCGGACTGCTTGCATCACGCCTGCCCTCGCTTGCATTGTCATGCGGAGAGGAAGAGTCAAGGAGCAATGGAGAGCAGCCCCTAATTGTGCAACCATAGCAATTTATGAGTAGTTAAGTATAGTTGTGCATGAGGGCGAGGCACACCGATGATACTAGCAACCGCAATATCCGAGAATTTTTATCAGACTGAGTTGAACCCGTGGAACTGAATGCAGCAGCTCAAATTGAGGAAACGGTAATGCAATTGCAACGCAACTCGCGGAGGAATGAAAAACTGAACTCCCAGGCAACCCAGCAAGTCAGTCGTCTCACAGTTGTGTTCAAGCACAGTGTCATCAGTTGTAACCTGCTTCTGTAATTCATTTGCTACTTTAAATGGCATGAAAGTTTGACCAAGCTGCTAATTTTGTTTTTCTGAGGTTAACTGAGCAGGAACCTGGTATACGTGAATACATGCAGAGTATGCTAGGCAGGACAACATAGATTGGCTTGGGGAAAAGATTTCACATGAGATGAAGGAGTCTGGTTCCTGCTTAAGTTCTTTCGAAACAATATCAGCAGCTGATTTTAAATGGTCACGGAAGAGAAAAAATTTGATATCTCATTGGATTACGTTGAAGGCAGGACATTGGAGAGTGTAATTTCCGAGACGTTAAGGTAGAGTCGTGGTTTAGTTTGATTGGAATCAGTCTTTTGCTAGTAGTTGTTGCGTGAGTATTTCCGTGAGGCTTGGATCGATGAGAATGATCAGATTCGAGAGTCGTTTAGAAGATATTAACTGTGGTGGTGGTAGACCTGATAGTTCATTGAAAAATTTGTTGGGCTAGAAAATCGTGGTTTAATTTCGTTGGGATTAGAATAAGCAGTCGCTGTCTCAGATGGCGAGAGGCTGGTAGGTTGGAAGTAGAGTTGAAAGAACCTGATTTGTTTCATTCTGGTCCGTCACACTAACAATTACAAATGCAAAAACAACTCCGTCCAGTGTAACTATTTAAGTTTTAGCACTTGAAAACTCATCACCCTTACATGATTCGCACCTTACAGATCATCCTCAGAGGGCATCAATACTTTTTCCGGAAACTACTATCACAATAGGTGTTAAATTATATACATATACATATAATGTCTTAAATACACAATGTTCAACTTCTCACAATCACAGCAGCCTTCCTGGTATTAAAATTTTTTAAAGTTTTTTAAAAACTTTGTTGTTCAAGATTAAAATTTATAAACCATGCAGGTTCATGTCTTTTTTGTCTTTTTGGAGGTGGCTGATCTTGTGCCGCCTGTCTATCACGAGAACTGAGATTCTTAGTATTGTCCGTGTTTCTTCGTGGCTTGCTGTGTTGTTTACACTGTTCAGAACTGCGGAACTGCCTTTGCAGTTAGAAAAGGCATTCCTCATAACCATGTAGACCTCTAGCAGCAGAATAATCATCCAGTTAGTTCAATCAGTCTCGATAACAATCGAACAGACAATCTCCTTTCTGAATCTCCACCGGACTGCGGAAATTACACTCTCAATGAAAATAATTCACGAACTTACACTCACCGATCCTCAACCTTTTAACTCTCTAACTCGAACTTACACTGGTAATTTTATCTTTCTGAGTCTTTTCGAGCAACTGACTAGCCAAGATTTCGGATTATGTAGAAAGCAGGAGGAAAATGAAAACATGAACCAGAGTTCCAATTGACTCACCCCTGGGACAGGACGGGAACTGGAGTCCACTCATCAACTTCTTTCCTGTGTCATATAAACAGCCGTGGAGTTCCACAGGGTCGTGGAGTTAGATTCGAGCGATTGGCAGTGAGTGTAAGTTCTGAGATTAGAGGTACGATTTAGGAGGATTGAGAGGATTGTCTGTTGGATTGTTGTCGAGAGTGATCGAACTAACTGGGTGACTATTCTGCTGCTAGAGTACAAGTATATTGGTCATTCAGCCGGGTTGTGTGGGTCAAGTGAGTTAAAGTGTTCACTTCCTCGTACATTAGCCGTAGTTAGGAAAGTGTGCAGAACCTATACAGCGAATGGCGTGGCTAGTGCATCGGGGCAACTATCAAGCAAGCGAAATGACGGAGCCGACCTTGTGTGAAACGCGGTGGAAGGCAATCATGGCTTCCTTTGAGAGGAACCACGAGAACTTAACAACTAATAATCCTGACTGCCAGGAAGAAATCGAATTACGTGCAACGGCTTGCGAACAATAGGGCAACCTATCCATACATCGCCCTCCATAAATGGAAAGGGCACAGTATGGAACCAACTCATAACAAAATCCAAGGCCGAGAGGACAGTGCTCTGTAAGCACTTCAACGGCAAGGCCCTCTTTATAGCCATGCTGCGCCTCTATGCTGCCATCCACAGGGAGACGCGAGAGTCTCTCCTGCTGGAACAAAAAAAAAAAGAATCTGAGGAATTTCGCGAACAAAGAAGGCGCAAGTGAAACTCCTCAGAAGAGCAGAAGAAAAAGCCGAAGACGACACCTGGCTCGAGGGACCACAGGATAAAATCCCAGGGTGAAGTACAAACGAAGAACTTCTTTGCGCCCCTGAGGACATCAGGAATGGACGTGGAGGAGACAGCCAACAAGCCGGGAGAACAGCAGCCATCGGACAACAAGTCAGTTAGGCCGCCTCCCATTGTACTAACCTCTACGACTAATCTGATGCAGTTGCAGAGGAAGGTCAAAGACCTAGTCACGGGAAATTTTGAGTTCCGCAACACCAGGAGCGGGACCAGAATTTTCACGAAGGAAATGTTGGACTCCTCAGCCATCAAAAAATTCCTAGAGTAACATCCTCTCATAATTTACCTACTATCTCAAGTCTGAGAAACCCATCAAAGCTGTTATCCGTCACCTTACAGAAAGTACTCCAGCTGAAGATATATCTGAGGATCTGGTGAGTCTGGGGTTTGATGTCATTAGCGTCAAACAAATGACAACCAGTACTCGGACTCCTCCAGAAGGAACAAATACCATTAATTTCAACAAAAAAATGTCTACGACTGCAGTGTTCTTGGACATCGAAAAAGCCTTTGATACCACGTGGCACTCAGGATTGTTGTATAAGTTATCAAAAGTGGAATTCTCGAACAGGTTGACCAAACTTATTCTGTCCTTTCTTTCTAAAAGTAAATTCAGGTTCTCGGTTGAAGGCGAAATGTCAATTCCAAGGGAAATGCAAGCAGGGGTGCCACAATGATCTGTCCTTTCCCCTACTCTTTTCAACTTGTATATAAATGATGCCGCCAAACTCATGGTGTTCACCTGGCCCTCTTTGCGAATGACACCTGCCTGTATGCGATAGATCGAGAGGAGGGTTTTATTGTTAGAAAACTCCAGCACAGTCTCAGCTCAATGGAGACCTGGCGTGAGCGCTGGAATATAAAAATTAATGAAGATAAGACTCAGGGGGTCTACTTCGCTCGTGGTCGTCGACCACCTGAGTCTTGTCTCACTCTAAATGGACGAAATATTCCATTTGTAAATAGTGCAAAATATCTAGGTGTAATTGTTGATAAGAGAGTGACATGCAGATTACACACAGAAATGATCGAAGCCAAGGCCTTCAGAACATTCATTAGAGTATATTCCCAATTCAAAACTGAGTGATTGAGCGATAATATTAAACTAACCCTTCACAAAGCTCTTATTAGATCCATAATGACTTATGCTAGTCCCGCCTGGGAGTTTGCGGCAGACACCCATCTAGTGAAATTGCAGTGCCTGCAAAACAAGGTTCTCCGCATAACTGGCAATTTTCCAAGGCGCACACCAGTCCGCGATTTGCACATGGCATTCAAAATCCCATATGTATATGATTACATAACAAAATTATGCAGGCAACAAACAGAAGTAATACAAAATCATGATAATGAGAATGTTCGCAACATCGGACAAGGCGAAGTATAAGAGGCTTAAACTTGGTGGCGGTCAGGCATACGACCGTTCAAGTGACTAGCCTGCCATGGGAGCGAATAATACGCACTAGAAATAGGGCATAATCTGCTGTACTGAGCCTGGACTAACAGAGGCCTTGTATATATTGTACATAGAAGTAAGAAATAAGTGTGTATTTGTAAATGTATGTAAATACAGACAGCGGACTTATTAATACAGACTGACTGACAAATGACAGACCGGACCTCTCGTCAGAGGGCGCCCCACATAGACAAGACAGTAATTTTCATTCAAAAGAAATGTGTGGTCATGAGCCCCAGCTGGCGCTCGACACCAAGACAGACAGACTGACTGACCGTCAGTTGCATCATGACTTTGACTTTGAGGTTCATGAAACCTGGAGGCTGCCACATTTCCTAGAAAGTGGGTTCACAGATGGCCGTGAGTTGTCAGCCTTATGCACTAGTCGCTCTTTACCCCCAGTCAGATTCCTTGTAATCATTTCTTTTTCTCCTCCCCTTGTTCCTGTTGTTCTTGAATTGTTTTAATTTTGTAGCAATCTACAAACAAAGAGTCTTCAATTTTTCCTACATACCACAACCTTTCCTTCTAATTTCTTTCCCAGCCCTCATATTGATTTTTTCAGCAATTGAATAAACCACATTTCTGGAATGTTGTTATTTCACATTTTAATTCTAATGTTTTCTCTCCTATATCTTTTAATAAATTCTTAATTATAACTTCTTCTCTAAAAATTTAATTTCTAATTCTTTCCTTTCTTATTCTTCTTCTCCCTCAATACTGTTCAAATATTTCATAATCACTGCCTGAAGTTTACTTCTGTTTTTCATTGTATGGGTTCATCTTCCAGTGTTACATGTAAAATATAAGTTCAAACCATTACGAATATTATGATACAAATATTAGAGTATATGTTGTATGTAAGTAATACACATTTTCTATGCACAAACATAATATAGTACACAGTTTAAGTGGTCCTCTTCTCTAGACCCAACCAGAAACCGCCTTCTGCAGTTACGTTGAAACCCTTCTGTATTACTTTGATAGGAATTGGTGTCTTGGAAACCACTTTCACGCTGAAACGTGACAGCAGGTGTGCCAACAATGATTTGGTTTCCATGAGAGCAAATCTGTTGCCTGGAACACAAAATCCATATATCCATAAACACCTAAGGCTTCTTATTCTATTATCTAGACATGTGAGCAAGCACATTTGCTAGTAATAATGTGTAAGGCCAGCAGTTGGTAGCATGGTGCAGATACTAAGTATCCAGTAAACTGTACAGGGACCAAAGGGCTCCAATAATGGAGCTACAATAGTGAGAACAAAAAAGAATGCCCAAAGTCAGTTACAGACCTCTTAAGGTTAGAGGAAGAAAGATTTATGCAAGGCGTCTCTTACTTCATCAACAAAAGATTTATTTAAAAAGAAAAGGAAATATAGGGACAAAATATTATTAGTATTTTCTTAGAATTAAGGTAAGAGACAAATTAAAAAATCTTGGGGTGACTGATATGATAGAATAAGAGATTTGTAATAATGTGGCAGGGGGCCAGATGGACATTTTTGTAGGGCAAAGATGTTGAGCAGCAATTGTTTCCTCAAGACATTTATGAGCAAAATATTTCAACAGGCATCATACTAGCAACAAAAATAAGTAGCATGTTGACAGCGGTGTGCAGATACTGCTGCCATACAACCTCAAGTTGATGTCTCCCATCTTCGGGATGAATTAACAAGGAGAAGTTCAGCACTTATATAAAATATTTTAACATTTTAGTGTTTTAACTTAAAATAGGTTCGGATGAAAAGTGAGAACTTGATAGTGTACTCAACTATCTCAGCATGTTTGTGCTTTTACACGTCAACATATTGTAGCAACGTCCACATGACAAACATAATTGTGAACATCAAAACAGCGACAGTGTTTCCATAACTGTAGCAAGTGCCTCTGATGATGGTTGTGTCAAACCGAAACATGTAAGGCAGAAATAATAATAAAAAGTGACCTACAAATTGTTACACTTGACGGACTTTCTATTAACTTTGTGAAATGAAGTATTTTGTGATAAATTTCTTTAAAACTTTGTGATCGCGCAAAGGTTAGGTTGTGTGCTCTTGACCTTACTATCGTCTTGTGGAGCTTATGCTTGTTATTCTGTATGTCACCAACAAGTTGTTTATTTGGAGTGATGTATATTAGATTTTCTTATGATGATATGTGTATGGCTGTTCCCTGTGTTGATATTGTCACTATGTTGTAGAAGCAGTGTAGACCAAACCGCTACAACATAGCGAGAATATCAACACAGTGAGAAGCCCCTCCAGTGAGCTGTTAATAAAACAAACACAGAGGAAGAATATGTTATTATTTACAAAAAATATGTAGACACCTAAGCTACTTCTCAGTGTAGTCACCACCAGAATTTAGGCACTTGTTGTATCAGGGAATAAGTTTCTGTATTGCCTGTGTCAAAGAAGTCTGCCGCCTGTGAGTTGAGCCATATTTTGACACCTTCCATCAACTCCTTGTTATTGTGGAAGTGTTGTGATGCCAACCAGTTGTTCAAGTAGGTACAAGTAAACTGGTGGTAGTCGCTCAGAGCGAGATCATGGCTCCTGGGAGAGCGGTCAAATAACTCCCAGTTGAAATGCTCCAACAGTCCTCGAGTGCAAGCAGACAGTCATTGTCATGAATTCAATGTCAGAATTCAATGCCTTTTGTTCTGAATGGAACTACGAAATTTCTTACTGTTTCACTGTACACTTCTGACATTACTGTGGTCCCTCATTGCATTAATTCCACTATCAGCACTCCTTTCCTGTCGCAGAAAACAGATGCCAGCAGCTTTCTGGAAAACGACGATTATTTAAACTTTTTTCGGCTTTTTTGGTGAATGTGTGTATATCCACTGCTTTGACTGCTCTTGGTTTCAGCATTCATAAATGAAATCCAGGTTTCATCATTTGTTACTCTTATGGTGTGACTGAGAAATTCATCACCATCTTTATGGTATCGCTCTAAAAAAAATCAAAGTCAAAGCCATTCTCTGCATTTTGTGAACACATTTGAGTACTTACAGAACACACCTTGTGCAAAACTTGTGATAATCACGTAGAGAAAAGTGCATGAAATTTGTTGATATTCACACGAAAGAGAACATTTGTTAGCCCATCTTTGAACATTCTATACCATAGAGTTCCTTCACTCGTTATATTTTCGCCTTAAACCTTGCGTAATTCATTATTCATTTCAGCAGCATTGAAGTTCCTAACATGAAGAAAGTGAATAACTGCACGAATTTCGGAGTTGGCAGGATTATCAATTGCAGAACACATTATAACTCACACTGTAGAAACAAGAACTTACACTCCGTGACCAGTTACGTGATGGTTTACAAGGCAATGAATCATGTGACGCTACTTTTCCAGCACGAACTCTCTACCACTTCTATATTAGTTGTCTGAAACAAACGGAAGTTACTTTCCGAATAGCATTCATATTTTATAATGTCTTTGTTGGTCACCCTACAGTATTCTTGATAGAAGTCTCAGCACAACAACCAACTGCATTCTGGACATGCCACAGCAGGCAATAACCATCGTCATAAATAAAAACTAAACTTCTTGGCTTTTAGTCCGCAAGGGAAGTATACCGACCAACCGAGCGACCGCCACTTGTCGGCGAAGTTAATGCCAAATTTTGTGGATAGAGGGTGTCGTGTGTTCAGCGTAACGGATTCCCACAGGCGTTAATCTCGGTTTTCTAGACCGGAGCCGCTACTTTTCCATTCAAGTAGCACATCAATTATCCTCACAAGACTGAGTGGACTCTGTTCCAGACGCAATACTTCTCAGAAAATCTGGTAGCGCCGGGAATCGAACCCTGGACCTATGACCACTAGATCACAGAGGCAGAAACAGAAATAACTCAGAATATCGCTACTTATTGTTCCAGCCCAAAAATACATCACCATGCCAAGTAACAACTATGACACAACTAACACTCCACTATACATCCAGGATTCACTGCTTCTACGAGACACAATACCAATGACTACAGTTGGCATATTAAGTCACATCCCCACCATACATCATCATTCACCAGCACAGTAAAATAAACCTTATACATCCCCATAGAACCTATTATATTTGCAATGCTTGAAATTAAGCATACTAAGCTATCAATAAATTCAGCATTATTCTTGTCACTTCACTGTATATACATACCCTTCCTAAGTCACACCTCACAAGCCTCACATTATACATCATCCACCTTACGCTAACCATTTTAACAAACTAAGAAAATCATTAAAATTTATGTTTCTTTTTATTCTATCACTTAACACAAGAATTTATTAAGACAATTTTTGTTCTAACTCGGAATTTCGATAATAATATACTCGTATTATATTTATTTATTTACAAACTACCTGATGATGTCAATGCAATCAAAACATGCCGTGGCTGAATGAGACAATACAATTTAATGAGGCACTGATATTTTTCTTAAGTTTTTTGGTTCTATTAAAGTTTAATTTACTTCACTGTTATGTTTCCACAACCAACATTTGCATAAGCCTACATATGTAATTTCAATGAAGAGTGAAAAATTGAAAGAACCAGAAGCAGCTGAAAAATTCAGCTATAAAACTTCAGAATATCAAAACAGAATTTAATATCCAATTCTTGAGTTCAATGAAAAACAAGAAGACCTTAATCTCATTTCACGTTTTCTTACTAATATAAATGCTAATGAAGAAGTGAGGAACTAATCATAAATATTACTCACCAATGCAGCTTCTTGGGCCTAATCCAAAAGGTATGTATGTCATTGGGTTGATGTTGTGCTTATTGTCATCACTGAATCGTTCCGGATCAAAGCGCTCAGGGTCAGGAAAGTAGTTGGGGTCATGCTGCAGCCCATAGACAGGGATCATAATGTTGTCTCCAGGACGCAATTCCAGTGGAGGATCAGATTTCAGTGTGTAGTTTTTAACACAAACTCGTTCCACAGCTGCTCCTGGTGGGTACAGGCGTAGTGTTTCTGTGAATATGAATTTAAATACATTATCATTTATGGATTAAACATACCGACTAATGTCTCAGGTTCTGTGAGTGCGGAATGCTATCCGTCAGTATGGAATCGAAGACCTTATTACATGTTTCGTGTAAGTTGGTCCATACTGAATTCTTTATTTGGCTCTATGAATATAAAGAGAAAGAAAAGAACAAATCAAAATCAAATGTTTTCACAAACACGCCTGTCATACATGACTTGTAACAAATATCTGAAATCCACTGTGACAGGAAGCTTGCTAATGGATATAATCCCAACATTATGGACGGAATACACAGAAATACTGAAGAGTAAAGGAAACAGTGCAACAGGAGATCACTGTGCTCTGGAACATTATGCCAAGCAGTTTCGTAAAGCACAGCATCATGTCCCAGCAGATGGTGACTTTGATATTCACAGCTGTGATAAACTCAAATATCATGAAGCAGAGATAAGCATATATGAGTACTTAGTTTCTATGAATAAACAATTGCATATTCTCACCTGACACGACCATGTCGAGGTACTTCATGCTGTGGACCATCTCATACGTAAATTTCCCATCATGCTTTTTCAGTGTTTTGTCAATCTCCTCCTGCAACCGAGTTTGTACATCTGGATGTATGGCCAGCAGATAAGAGACAAAGCTCATAAGTGTGGAAGATGTGTCAAATCCAGCCAAGAAGAACTGGAGGGATTGGGCTATGATGTCTTCATCATCTAATTCTGTGACAAAAAGTATCTGGTTTTGGAAGCTGCTAACTGAATTTACAATTCATATTTGTCCTCAATAATTACATAAAATTATAAAATAAATGAAAGTAGCATAACAGCCAGACAGGGATTCCAATTTGCTACAATTGTACATGGTTCTATCATCAACCAAAAACAGCACCATCACTGATGATGACAATGATGATGACAACAAAGATAAGAGTAGCGGCAGCACCAGCAAAAGTACATATGCAGATAAAATTAATCTGGGTATACTAGTCATACGAATATATACATAAAGTAACGTATCTCCACATGGAACTGGCGACAGAAATCAAATAGAAGGGGCAACTGAAACAGGTACATTTAGTCCATGACTGTCCTGACTACAAGCATATACTCTCAAAGACTCATCAATGAACTAGAAAACTTAAAACTGTAATACAGTATACAATTAACTGTCACTATTAATAGAGCACACACATATCATGTAACAGGAGATTTATGAATGCTTTGTAACAAATGTATATTTACAGATAAGTGTACTTTCATGAGTCAATTACTGTTCAAATCTTTTGTCACTTTATGAAATATGGTATGAGATAACATAAATGATAATTATATGATGATGAATGGATGGCTGGGTAAATTTGTAAATGAATATCACGGATGGATAATGGTGATGATTATGACAACGGTGATAGTACTGGCGATAATTATGATCATGGGTGGATGGGTCCTCTCAGTGTGACTGGATGGCTATCAAGATAATTTCTGAAGTATTCTGATGACTCCCCTGGAAAGCACTAGAGTACAGAACTGTCCAACTGAACGCATGAGATCAAAGGGCTGCGGCTTACTTATCTTGGCACCCTTCTGATCCTCTGCAGAGTCCTCTTCATGTAGAGTTCCCTTCTTAGCCTGGATCAGCAAGTGCAACAGGTCTGGTCTGATGATGCCTTCTCGTTCTCGTGTGGCAACTGTGTCAAGTACCAATGTCTTGAAAAATTGTGTGATCTTCCCTGGTACAAGGCTAAGGCCCAAAAACTGAACAGAAAACATTCATTGCAGTCAAACAATCTACCATTTTTATTTGTAATTTTGTACAACATTAAAATTGTAATTTTTTAATAATATTAAGACTGTGCTAACTGACCAATTAATTTGTTGCTATAATTAAATGGATGAATTTGTTTCTTGTTGATTAACAAAACGTTGTCATTTCCTGTTGGGGAACAGAGGGAGAGAATTTTTCTACTGAATTTCTGCCAAACTTTATGTCAACTATTAAAGAACCTGTATTAATAATGCCAATACTGCCTTGGCAAAGTGGTACCACACATTCTGGTACACCTATGCTTCAAAGGGACCTACTGTCTCCAGTGTAGAAGGATCAGGTTCTTCTGAAATACTGATAATGACCAAGTATGCAGAATTCGAGGTTCCCAAGGTGGTGACTATGAATTGTACCACCTTCTAGGATAATAAGCCGTCAAACAGGAGATTACCAATGTTTTGAAGAAATGAACTGACTGTATTTTCTGCCTTCTGGTGCATGTTGGCTCAATTTTGACCCTGAAGATGGACCCAGTATGTTTCTCTGGTAATCTCTACCAAATTACATGGCGTCATATCCCTTCAGTGAACAACCAGATGACATGTTCACAGCCACTGCCATGAGAACCATAAATCACACACACTGCATTAATAACTTCAAAGAAATAAACTCTGTTAAAATATAAGCAGAAGAAGCAAACACACCATCCTGTCATTAGATGACATTATATATCAGATAAATTCATTACACATCCCACAACCTCCTCATATATGGTCAGTATTTTTCTTCAAAACTACTGCTTTCTAAAAGTCATCCAACCAAACTTCAGTAGGCATTTCTTGTTACCCACTTGAGCTAGTTACACTAGAAAGTTGGGCAAATCAGTAGGTTCGGATTATGCAAAATTCTGCTTCCCATTTCATATTTGTTCATCTGTCTTGGTTCCAACAATCTTCCTTAGAAAAGTTTTCTCAGTTATATGTAATATTCATTCTTCTTTAACTCACTTAATTTCATGCTAAACCGTATTTCACGTTATGAAACTATTATGGATCCATCCATGGAGAAATTTTGAAAATAAATGTGGTATCTGTACCTTGTAATATGATACTATAATAGAACAATCTATGAAGAACTGCTGAAGCCAAGTGTGTATATGTTTATTGATTGATGTATATGATGTTGATTTTGTATATGCATATTGATATCTGTATTCAAAGGACAATTTCCACATCCTGGTTTTTTAACTTGTAGGGATATATATGGAAAATAAATGGACAATGACAATGTACACAATGCTGTGGCCAATTAAATGTCTCAAATGGCAAATAACCTGTCATTAAACTGGACAAGATTACCCTGCCATAGTATATTATACTCGAATATAAGTTTATATAGACAGACAGCAACTGATACTGTTTACCCAATTAAAGCAGGGGAGAAATAATATGCACCACATGCTGCAACAATAAATATGTATATGTTTTAGCCACACAAAGCATTTATGTGTCTCTGAGGTAGGAACTGAATTTTCTATATTACTTCCAACAACTTAATGCTTCAAGGGGTTAACATACACATAAGCATAGCATGTCTCTGGATAAACAGTCCTGACCTTCATGACCTTTGGTATTGACAAGAAGATTAACCATTTGATTGCACCAAAACTGGTGGCATCTTGCCCCATCATATAGAATTCATTTGTTGGATGTTTTAGGGAATCAACTTTAAGCCCAAATGCTGTCGTGGCAATGACATCATTTGTGTATCGGGTATAAAATTCCTTTAGCTCCAGCACCAACAAATCGCCATCTGAAAATACATAAACAACAGCATAAATCTGCCCAGTCTCCTAATGTACCTTATTTCATGGTACAACACTTAGTTTTTGCTGTGAAATTAAGTGTGTTTCAAGGATTATTTTAAGGTTCTGTACAGTAGTTCCAATGTAACAGTGTTCAAATTGTGGGACACAAGTTCTACCAAATCTCAAGCTATACCAAATAATGTATGTCACATAATTAGATTGGCTGCTCACACACACACACACACCCTCATTATGCATGTACTACAATTTCAAAAGTTATGGCCAAACCTATTTCTGACCCATACCAGCCATCTAAACTGACTATTTATGGTTATCATAACATTTTCAACATATAATGTTAAAGGCAAGGGTAATGTCACCGTTCAACACAGACATAATACCACAAAGGTCACTAATATAGATTTCGATGAGAATGGGTTATCAAATTTGCTGGTGTACAATTTCAAGGCGAATACTCGAGCCCTGTGGCACACAAAGCATAACTGTCCTGAAGAGAAAATCGATTAAGCTGAGCAAACATTTCGAGTTCTTCAGAGGCTAATAACCACTTAGCTAGCCATGAAATTCCTATCATTTTATGGAATCAGGAGAATCATTACCATGTTTATTTCTTTGAGATCCATATTTTTATTATCTTCAAATTGAGAAGTGGGGAAGACACCTGCTCAGCTGGAACTGTTACAAAATGCTAGTATCATGCATTAGAACTGTTAGTGTTAAAAAATAGCTCAAACTAGCTATGAACCATCTATCACAGAAGCACAATAGATCAGTGATGATTGCGGTGTAAGAGCCAAGTGCTATGGCCCACCCTTACACATACATCTATCACATGGGCTCTGCAGAGCAGACTTTGTTTCTCTGCAGCAAAGATCCACTGTGTACATTTCTCACAACTGTAGTTTATATCCTCCCCCTGATCTGTTTCTTAACAACAATGTTCTGCTATTTCATTTATCTGCCAAGTTATTTCCTCTTATTCTTAATATCATACCCTTTTAGGAACCTTATTTGAGATGGTTTGAAGTTAAATGTGAACAGTTATTGAAAATTTTAGAAGTTTTATACAACTGGTCATGGAGTGAAGCCCAGATGGTGATGCTCTGATTTTAACACATTTGAACTGTTTTCAGACAAACTCTGCAAGCACCAGAGGGAATTTCAATCTGTCTATCATACATCATATTCATGAGACTGGGATTCATTTTGTCACCATGGTAATGGAGTTTTCTTCACCAGTGATCTTGATGTTCTGTATGAGGAATCCATGTAAACTCAAACATCTCTGTGAAGGAATCTCCTCTGTTAGCATGCAACTAGTTTATCAACACAGCCTCATCACCCTTCTTAGAGTGCAGTTTCTTCTATCCACTTACCATAGAAGGTCCGATGTGTACACCAACACTTCTAAACCTCAGGGTTCAATTTTGCCACCTTCTTGAGCAAATTGATATCCACTTGAAATGTATGATTCTCAACAGAACTTTAACAATTCCACCTTGGCATAATACATGCCTGACCTGCGACCTCCATTTGCCCATTTCATGAGAGGCGCACCTTAATATCGTCATTATTTTGAGGAACTCCTTTCTGAGTATCCAGAATATATGGTTATGTACACTGATAGCTTGACGGGTTCGAGGTTCAGGAAGGTGTGAGAGACCATGCTTCATCTCACTGCCTCCATTACCTTAATAGTGTAGACAGCCAAACCCTATGCCATATACAGATTTCTTCCTTTCAATTAACACACCTCAGTTTTTTATCTTATTTGTGTCTTTCAAGTTCTCCATGTACAAATACAAGATCACCTTGTTCTTAGAGAGATTTTTCATCCAATTCCTTTATGTGAATAAGTCTGGGAAGTCAGCTGTGTTCTGCTCAATACCTGGTCATCTGGGCATATCTGATAATGACACCACTGATGCAGTAGCCAGGGAAGCTGCCTTGTATGGGGACGTTTCATAAGAAAGAGTGCGGGGCAATTATGTTTGCTCCCGAAACCCAGTAATATTAAATTCTGACTTTTTATAAGCTTTGGTCCAAGGATGGATACTGGCCTAAAATTTTGTCGCTGTGTGTATCTGTGTATTTCCCCTTAATCTTTTCAGATGGTCTGGAATTTCGTCTGTTCCCAATTCTTAGGTATCAGAATAAGCCGAGATTATATGAACTGACCCCAGTACACCCTGCAAGGTAAAGTAGTCCCTGCACTCAACTAATTAAGCATTACACAGTGAAGACATATGGGGGAGTTGATTTATAGGTCCACATTTTCTTGACTTCAGCAGTAGTTGGAGATGTGTAGTCAGCTTAATGCCCTGGCCACTTTACACCTGGGGGAACAGCCCCCGGTACCCCTGGAATTGAGGCTGGGAAGACCCCAGAACCAGTCTGGACATCATGGAAAAAAATTCTTGAGCCTACCAGGACTATAATTCCAAATCATTCTGTCATCCAGCCCACAAGTCAGTCGCTATACAAACTGAGCTATCCCAGCTCCATAACACATCTGTAGCCTACACTCTTCTCAACGCAGAGACAAGAATTCAGGTCCACCAAATCATTTATTATTACATTTGTATTATAAAAATTTAGAGGAGTCGGGATAGTGTAGTCAGTACAGTGAGTGGACACAGACCAGACAACCAAAGGGTCAGAGTTCGTGTCCCGGTAGAGTCAAGAATTTTCTCTTTTCCACGTCGTCCAGACCAGCTCCGGAGTCCATCCTACATCCTATCCAATGGGTACCGTGGGTAAAGGGGCCGGAGCGTGAAGCTGACCACTCACCTCCAGCTAGTCCCAAGGTCAAAAAATGTGGATGCATATTTCCCCCGTATGCCTTCATAGCGTAGTGTTTAATTAGTTAAGAAGAGGGACAACTTTCCCTTTATTATAATCATTTATTATTATAAAATTTTATAATTTATCAACTTACTTTCAATAATAGAAAAATGGCTTATAAATTTTTATTGTGTGTCTGTGTGTTCCTATAATGGGGTCAGGAGAGTCATAAAAAAGAAATGGTTGGAATTTCCCAGCTTATACATTTTTAGGCACTAGATTAAACCGAGATGATGTGAACTGGCTCCAGTACACACCTGCCGCATAGGCTCTTTTCACCATAGAGGCACAATTTCATGTCAAACAAATCATGCAGCAGGCTTTCCTGCTGCAGCTCTCCCATGCCAGTCATCATTTCACGAATGTCTGTACATATCTATCACCAACCCATAAGCCCAACAAACATGGCCAGCCAGTATATCATTACACCCCGCGGTTGGCCTGTTTACAGTAAAATTTCTTCATTTATTTAACACAAATTATAAAAGTGATAATATATTTACCTTTTTTGATTTTGTAGCTGGTTTCTATCGGCTGTTGATAGCTCTGCTCCAGGAAGTCTAGCAGCTGCTCACTGCATTCATTCACCAACACAAACATGGTCTTCATCTTGCTGGATGTGAAAGCAGGACTTAGTGTGGACCGCATGTCTCTCCAGCGCTGGCCTATGCCACATACAACAGCGGTTCAGAAAACTTTCCAGACTGGGGCTTGCTTAATGTGAACACAAGTGCTCAAATGCCTTGTGTTCCTGCTACCTATTAAAATTACTTAAAGTGTAATTTAGCAATTTCAAAGCAACTTCTAATTAACATTAATGATGTCTACTAAGTACCTCCTCTTTTTTTTTTCTGTGGCGCTACAGCCCCAATTTTGGCCTAGGCCTACCTCCATGAAACTCTCCTTTTCACTTCGGTTTACTAGATCTTACACATTCGGTAGGACTCCTTGGGCGAGTGATCAGCTCGTCACCAGGCCTCTACCTGTAGACAAACACAGAAAAACACACACAAACATCCATGCCCTGAGTGGGATTCGAACCCACGATCCTGGCTTTTGAGCGAGTGAAGACAGTGCATGCCTTAGACCGCTCAGCTACCGTGACTGGCAAGTACCTCTTCTACTAGCACTTTAAAACTCTTAAGTTAATCTAAATAATATTTAGCAGTTCATTTCTTACCTGGATCTCCATTATGAGTGGCTGTCTACAGAAATAATTGCCATTGATTGCAGAATGATGAAGTTTTCTCTGTCCTTAATTAAATAAGAACCATGTCACAAAGTTTGTTCTTACTCAGTTGAAAAATACTGGTATAAACACGCCATATGTTTGCATGTATTACATGTTTTGGCCTATTGTGGTCATCATCATCAGGTACAAACAGCTTTTACAATCGCCCTTCTATCTATTATACCTCTCCACAATGGTCAGTGTTCACATATAAAAAGTGCATTTTACAGGTATATTGTCTATGTAATACCCTTATGTTATGGAATGTATTAAACTTAAATATAATTTTTATTTAAATATTTTAATTAGAATAAATATTAAAATCAGGTTAGCTATTAAAAGGTGTACTCATATATATAAAAACTAACTCCATGGAGATGAGCCCTTCTTGAGAAGGGGCCAGTTTTGCAGCTACTCCAGAATTTTCCAACAACTTATGTAACCTGAAGGTTCAGTACCATGTTTACAAGAGATCTCCACTGGTCACTTTCCTGAGCAAGATCAATCCAGTCCATGCCACCCCATCCTATCTCCCTACAATCCACTTTAATATTATCCACCCACCTATGTATTGGCTTTCCTAGTAGCTTCTCTCCTTCTGGCTATTCAACAAAAATCTTTAATGCATTCCTCTTCACCCCATTCGTGCTACATGCACTGTCCATCTCATCCTCTTTCACTTGGTCATTCTAATTATACTTGGTGAAGAGTACAAGTTATGAAGCTCCTCATTATGCAGTTTTCTCCAACCTCCTGTCACTTCATCCCTCTTCAGCCCAAATATTCTCCTGATCAACCTGTTCTCAAACACCCTCAGTCTACATATCTCCCTTAATAAGTTTCACACCAATACAGGACCACAGGCAAAATTACAGTTTTAGATATTCTAATTTTTAAGTTTTTAGACATCAGACAAGGTGAAAGGTTCTGGACTGAATGGTAGCAAGCATTCCCTTAATTCAATCTCCTCTTAAATTGCTCCTGAATCAAATTTTGATTTGTTAGTTTCGTTCCATAATATCTGAGTTGTACCACATTTTCAAAGGATGTATTAGCTACTTTTATAACATGATTTTGCCCTGTGTTCGGTTGATGAGACAGTAACAGATACTCAGTTTTTCTGCATTTTCTTTGAGACCAACCTTCTTACTAGCATCAATTAAAGTTTCTCTGATTCTTTGTGGTATCTATGTTATCCCCCACTAGAGTCATATCATCAACATAGACCAGCAACTGATGTATCCCATTTAATTTCAGACCCACCTGGTTCTCCTGGACCTTCCTAATGGCATAAGCTAGTACAAAGTTGACAGTCAGTGGTGATAAAGCACCTTCTTGTTTTAGGCCATTTTGGATAGAAAAATTATCAGATAAATATCTACTTATATGGACTTTACATTTAAACACAAAATTTAAGCAGCCTACAAAGTTTCATGGGTACACCAAACTCTGTGAGAATACTGCACAGGACTTCGCTCGTAACAGAATCATAGACTACCTTGAAGTCGAATGAATAGCTGATGTACTGTTACATTGTACTCCCATTTTTTCTCCAGTATCTGATGAATTAAAAAATTCTGATCACAGTTCATCTGTTTCTCCAAAACGCACAATGACGACGATCCCCAATAATTTCATCTATGTATGGACTTAAACTTGAGAGCAGAATATTGGATAAAATTATTTATGAAGTTGATAACAGTGATATCCCACGATAATTATTACAGTCAATCTTTATTGCCCTTCTTATGAACTGATACCATAATAGACCCCTTCCACTGTTCAGGCAATTATTCTTTATTCGAAACAGAATTAATGAGTTTATGGATCTCAGACCATATTATTTCAACCTTTTTATTATATCCGTCACAACACAACTAATATCAAGATGAGACCATTTTCGGCCCTGCTACATGTTTCGGCTATTGATAGCCATCATCAGGCAAACACATGATTTACACACATATACACACTACTGAACCACAGCACCAACAAAATTGGATACAATATTATTAAAATACATATATAAAAACACTTGATGTGAAAAATACAAAAATCAAGTTATATAAAAAAGAAGTATGATATAAAATAAGAATAAAATTCTTTTGGTGTTTTTACGAGTACATCAATGTGTCAGTCGTTGGTTTGTGATTTGTGTTTTGTTTTGTTCCCATGGACAAGTTAGAATATTCATACTTATTCCTACATAAAATTTTCGTTGTTTACATTCCCTACAGTATGGACAATACTTTGTAAGATGAGGCACTGACTAATATTATAATTTACTTTACTACATCTACATTGCGAGCTTCATACACAATTTTATATACGAATAAGTATGAATATTGTAACTTGTCCATGGGAACAAAACAAAAAACAAATCACAAAACAACGGCTGACACGTTGATGTACTCATAAAAACACCAACAGAATTTTATTCTTATTTTATATCATATTTTTGTTTTATATAACTTGATTTTTGTATTTTTTACATCAAGGGTTTTTATATATGTATTTTAATAATATTGTGTCCAATCTTGTTGGTGCTGTCGTTCAGTAGTGTTTATGTGTGTGTAAATCATGTGTTTGCCTGATGATGTCTATCAATAGCCGAAACATGTAGCAGGGCCGAAAATGGTCTGATCTTGATATTAGTTGTGTTGTGACGGATATAATAAAAAGGTTGTATATTGTAACACAACAGGATGCATGAAATGAAAACCATAATATTTCACCCCTTGCTTGAACAGTTCTACAGAAATTTGAACACTACCTGTCGATTTTTACTTCAACTTTGAAACAGCAATTTCAACCCCCGCATGAGTAAGATTAGATACTACTGGATCAGCTATATGTAATTCTACTTGCCTAAAATCACTGACCCCATGTATATTCAATAACTGAGATAAGTGGTCCTTCCATTTTTCAAAATGTTGAGGGAATCTATTGTACAAGCAGATCACCATTCTCATCCTTCACTAAGTTACTGCTAGTTTGGGAACCTCTCTTAAGGTCATTTATTCCTCTAAACAGTTCTCTAATATTCTTGTTCTTATTGTTCGTTACAAGCTCATTTACTTCTGTCTTTCAGATATTCCCTCTTTTTATTCCTGAAATGCCCCCTAGTTTCATGTCTTGTATTGTTCAGATTATCCCCATTTATCCACTTGGATCCTGTAGCCACTGTTGTCTTGTTTCCTATGGTCTAATAATTTTGAGCATCCTTCGTCAAATCATGGCTTATGCTTCTTAAATTCAAAATAACCTAAGCCCACTTTCACTCAAATTTTGATATTAACTAGCACTTTCCCAAGCTCTATTAATATCCATCTCAGTCTAAGTTTTCAAAAGCTGCAAACCTATTTGAGATTTCAACACAATACTGCTCTTTACCCTCTCCTGCAATTTTTTTAGATTAATACCCTTCTTAGAACACTGGGTATTGTTTGTTTATTCACTTCCATTTCCTCCCTAAATTTTTCCGCCCCAGGTAGTGGTCAGTATCATAATCTGCTGTTCTAAATGAATGGACATCAAGTATACTTGAATGCTGTCTCCTATCTATCAAAATATGGTCAATAATTATGAGTCTTTCCATCAGGAAACGTCCAATTTATTTATGAATATTATGATGTTGGAACCTGGTACTTTTGACAATAAGATTTTACAGTTTCTCAAATTTTACTACTCTAACTCCATTTATTAATGTCCTGTAAACTCACATTCTCAATTGTTGGTTTGAAATCGTCTTTCCTACTTCCTTCAGAAATGAAATCTCCTAACAAAATTTTTCATTTGGTATTTAAGGAATTTATCGAATACATGTTATAGTCATCCCTCATATCATCATTTTTATCCCCTGTTGGGGCATGCACATTGAAGAACAATTGTGTATAGTATAGTATACTGTATAGACCATTCATATTATTGAAGTCATAATGACTATTCAGTAAGGCCATATTTCTATATATTTACATTATATATACGGTACATATGTAATCTAATGACATCCTTAAGACCTGTATGTCATTCACTCACCCTTGAGAATAATGAGCGGTTTCGACCATATCGACTCCCTGCTCTCTATATAATCTGTTCGGTGATCTGTGAAGTACTCGAAATCTTTCACAGTGATGGTTTTGATAAGTTCCAGATCTCTCACGTAAACAACTGGCATCCGAAACATGAAAATAATTCCAAATTGGCGGCCTTTGAATTGGTTGTAACTTTCCAGTAAAAGTTCAAGTAAGGACTTCTTCCCCATATACNGCGAGCTTCATACACAATTTTATATACGAATAAGTATGAATATTGTAACTTGTCCATGGGAACAAAACAAAAAACAAATCACAAAACAACGGCTGACACGTTGATGTACTCATAAAAACACCAACAGAATTTTATTCTTATTTTATATCATATTTTTGTTTTATATAACTTGATTTTTGTATTTTTTACATCAAGGGTTTTTATATATGTATTTTAATAATATTGTGTCCAATCTTGTTGGTGCTGTCGTTCAGTAGTGTTTATGTGTGTGTAAATCATGTGTTTGCCTGATGATGTCTATCAATAGCCGAAACATGTAGCAGGGCCGAAAATGGTCTGATCTTGATATTAGTTGTGTTGTGACGGATATAATAAAAAGGTTGTATATTGTAACACAACAGGATGCATGAAATGAAAACCATAATATTTCACCCCTTGCTTGAACAGTTCTACAGAAATTTGAACACTACCTGTCGATTTTTACTTCAACTTTGAAACAGCAATTTCAACCCCCGCATGAGTAAGATTAGATACTACTGGATCAGCTATATGTAATTCTACTTGCCTAAAATCACTGACCCCATGTATATTCAATAACTGAGATAAGTGGTCCTTCCATTTTTCAAAATGTTGAGGGAATCTATTGTACAAGCAGATCACCATTCTCATCCTTCACTAAGTTACTGCTAGTTTGGGAACCTCTCTTAAGGTCATTTATTCCTCTAAACAGTTCTCTAATATTCTTGTTCTTATTGTTCGTTACAAGCTCATTTACTTCTGTCTTTCAGATATTCCCTCTTTTTATTCCTGAAATGCCCCCTAGTTTCATGTCTTGTATTGTTCAGATTATCCCCATTTATCCACTTGGATCCTGTAGCCACTGTTGTCTTGTTTCCTATGGTCTAATAATTTTGAGCATCCTTCGTCAAATCATGGCTTATGCTTCTTAAATTCAAAATAACCTAAGCCCACTTTCACTCAAATTTTGATATTAACTAGCACTTTCCCAAGCTCTATTAATATCCATCTCAGTCTAAGTTTTCAAAAGCTGCAAACCTATTTGAGATTTCAACACAATACTGCTCTTTACCCTCTCCTGCAATTTTTTTAGATTAATACCCTTCTTAGAACACTGGGTATTGTTTGTTTATTCACTTCCATTTCCTCCCTAAATTTTTCCGCCCCAGGTAGTGGTCAGTATCATAATCTGCTGTTCTAAATGAATGGACATCAAGTATACTTGAATGCTGTCTCCTATCTATCAAAATATGGTCAATAATTATGAGTCTTTCCATCAGGAAACGTCCAATTTATTTATGAATATTATGATGTTGGAACCTGGTACTTTTGACAATAAGATTTTACAGTTTCTCAAATTTTACTACTCTAACTCCATTTATTAATGTCCTGTAAACTCACATTCTCAATTGTTGGTTTGAAATCGTCTTTCCTACTTCCTTCAGAAATGAAATCTCCTAACAAAATTTTTCATTTGGTATTTAAGGAATTTATCGAATACATGTTATAGTCATCCCTCATATCATCATTTTTATCCCCTGTTGGGGCATGCACATTGAAGAACAATTGTGTATAGTATAGTATACTGTATAGACCATTCATATTATTGAAGTCATAATGACTATTCAGTAAGGCCATATTTCTATATATTTACATTATATATACGGTACATATGTAATCTAATGACATCCTTAAGACCTGTATGTCATTCACTCACCCTTGAGAATAATGAGCGGTTTCGACCATATCGACTCCCTGCTCTCTATATAATCTGTTCGGTGATCTGTGAAGTACTCGAAATCTTTCACAGTGATGGTTTTGATAAGTTCCAGATCTCTCACGTAAACAACTGGCATCCGAAACATGAAAATAATTCCAAATTGGCGGCCTTTGAATTGGTTGTAACTTTCCAGTAAAAGTTCAAGTAAGGACTTCTTCCCCATATACTGTGCCATATTTCCAATGAATGGAAGCGGTTTAAGGTGTGGTATATTTTGCTTTGTGAACCGGCCGTATGTGCTGGTACCCCAGAAGTACAGTACCACTCCTGCCGCCAGGACAAGTAGGGTCCAAACTAGGCATAGCCACGTCCAGTCCAGAATAGCCATCTTGTGTGCTGGGAGGACCTGTAGCAAGCAACAGACATTAAACGTTAACCCTCTCATTCCTGCAGACATACATGCAGTATATGTATGTTACAACACTGTGTAGTCTGGTAGATCATCACCAACGTTTCGAGGAAAGCTCTGCTCCATCTTCAGGGCCAAAAGTTGGTAACGCCCTTCGAGACTGCACGATATCACACCTCAGAACACAGCAGTAACGACAGTAACGGCCACGAGATCCTCAAATCTCGCGAAAGACGTATGTTAATTGACACGTTAGCGAGAATCTAAACGCTTCTAACAATGGCTGATTCATGGTACGAACATAATTATGAACATTGTTCCTTTTGTGGGGTATATTTCATACACTCGGTGGTGAAGACTAGCCGTTTCTAACGAGCCCAACTAACACGTTCGTCTCCCTTCACTTACACCTGAAGACGGAAACTGATTGTTAGAATAGTTGTGTATATGAAATACACACTATCCACTGAAAAATATAAAATACTGTGACGTCATGTCAGATTGCGTGAATATAATTTGGGTTCCGATAGAGACGTGTGTCTTTCTACAGTTCTTAATTTACCTTCGAGAAGCTCAAGCGGTTAGTCGCTGGCTCCCAGCGCCCGGCACGGATTAGATCTTGGGTCTGGTCAAGTGGCGCTGGGGCGGGTTTTCTCCGAGTACTTCGGTTTCCCTGCCAATCTTCATTCCACCAAATTCTCCATCGTCATAATCACTCGGGGCAGGTACAGTAGGCCAAACAGTGGCCGCCGTGCCGAGTGGACCCTGCTGGACTCCACCCCCACTAAGCGAACTGGAACTGGAAACTTCGGCAAGAGCCCCCGTGTGGAGGGGGGTTAGAATACTTCCGCCGTTGCCCTGTGGTTCGTAGAAGGCGAGGAAAAGGGAACCCGGTGTCTGGTGGCATAACCGGACCACCCTCTCACTGGGGGGGACATAAATACAGACCGGGTCCTTCAGGTTGGAGGTTGGACGCATGGCTTACGACCTCGCTCTGTAACGCCGAGGGCACACCAATGAAATTGAAAACCGCAATTGCCGAGAAAAATCGCCGATTTCAAGCAGGCAACTGGTTCCCAGGTTAGCAGACACACACTGAGAAAACTTATGTTTGAGTAGTTGCTCACGTCATCTTAAGTGTGAGTTCGTCCGACGTAATGCATGATTGTATTTTTCAATTTCGTGCACTTACCTTCTGCAATAGAATATAATAATACTGATCCTGTCATAATATGGCAGTAGTTAAGGCCGGTTGAGACGGGGTGAGAAGAGAGGACGACGACGACCATAAGGGAAATATTGTGATGTTAATTAATTCGTCTCAATTAAGGTAAATTTATTTTGATCGGTAAATAACGCGTTCACACAGGATACCAAATTTTCACATTCAGTGCAACAATTCTAGCAAGACAAAAGACACCTGGTGATGGCCGTATACAGCACAATTCTTTCGCGGGCCAGATAAAATCACATCGAGGGCCGCATGTGGCCCGCGGGCCGTAGTTTGGAGACCCTTGGACTGGATGGATCTGGCTCAGGATAGAGACCATTGGTGGGCTCTTGTGAACACGGCAACGAACCTTCGGATTCCATAACATGCTAGAAAGTTCTCCAATAGCTACACAATTGGCGGTTTCTCAAGAATGGCTCAGCTCCATGAAGTTAGTTACGTGTAGTGGCAGTGTATATGCCCAAAAGCGTAACAGGAAAGTAGCCTGGATTAGCGTGTATAGAAATACGTCATACCTTTGGTTCCCAAACTAGGTGCCGCGCATCGATGTTGTGTGCGCCGAAACATTAATATCAGTGAGCATAAAAATCACGGGAATGCTCCAGATCTGATGAAATTCTGTATGTCCTTGTACTTACCCATCCAGAAAAGGCAGTTCAGTTAGCAGAAATTATGTAGTTCAGATGTCTGAAGATTAGGCAGCCATAGAATTTAATTGTTGTACACATTATTTTTAAGGACCTAACTCCCTCACACTCTTACGGTTATCGGAGTGGATATTTGCGACTTAAATTACACAGACGCAAAGAAATGCAAAACCTACGTATTACATTTGATTTGTTTCATTCTGGTCCGTCACACTAACAATTACAAATATAAATCACTCCGTCCAATGTGACATGTAAGTTTTTTACTACATGAAAACTTAACACCCTTACATGTTTCGGTCTCTGCGGACCATCTTCAGAGGGCAAACATCACTACAAATAGGAAACCACCATCACATAAGTTGTTTATACGTAAAGTACGTAAACTTATATGCTACAATGCATAGTACACAAAATAGAGCATTTCACAAACACAGCAGTTCCTGGGAATGTAAAGTTTTTAAAAATTATTTAAAATTTCTTGATGCTAATTAAAAATTTTGTATTGTCAATAATTAAAATTCATAAACCATGCAGGCTCGTGTTCGTCCTCCCATCGTCCCTCTTGTATGGGGCAGATATTGTGTCACCTGTCTATCTTGATGTGGAGGTTCTTTATATCGTCCAGGGGTTGCTCGTGGCTCCGCAGAGACCGAAACATGTAAGGGTGTTAAGTTTTCATGTAGTAAAAAACTTACAGGTCACATTGGACGGAGTGATTTATATTTGTTCTACGTATCACAGCTCTCAATATTACAGGCTTTTATGGTCTGAGATCATTAGTAAAGCTTGACACAGTAGTATTTTAAGTGTGAAGTTCTGTAAAAATTTGATTTGTAGCTTATAAAGCAAACTAAATGTTTCGGAAATTATATCAAAATACTGGGTGGAACCATGCCCACGATAGATAATTCTGCAGGAACAAAGAGGGAAGAACATGTTGTCACGTAGTATGAGTGACTGTAGACGGGGTTTGGATTGGTGAATGTATTTATTGCTCACTTATACACACGACTCGAAACTACAAGCTATTAATGTGTCACCACTAATCTCCATATTTCACTAATCACCACAGCACCCACAAAGTCTTTTCCAGCTTGTTGTGTTTTCACCAGCCGTTCCATAGCAACGGCTTGTAACAGTGGAGATTCTTCAATTTCTGTGCTCACGCCTCTGCCCGCTGGCTAATACTACTCACAACTCAAAAGACAAAGTCAAATTTAGTTTACGACTGGCGGTTTACTGCCAATCAGTTCGTCTTGGCGTCAGGCCCCTTGAAGTCACAACCACAAAATTTTCTGAACTGAACTTTTGCCGTAATATTCCTTTTGTAACATCCTCTCTGACGAGAAGATGTGTTAGTCTTTTATGAATACGCTTGGCCTCTGGCCTTCTGCACATATAACATGTTACTGAAAATTCTTCCTTTTGCACTATACACAAGACCTCTGTCAGTAAAGGCCTTACAGGGTAGATCGTGCCTAACTTACATATCCTATGCTACAATGGTAGCTTAGTCACTTGATCGGTTCTAAGGTTGACTACTGCCAAGTTTAAGCCTCTTATATTTTCTGTGTCTCACTTCACCTTGTCCTATACCACATGTAAGTAACCTGCTCACAACTGAAATGTAGTGTCTTGGTTATAAAAATTTACTACGGACAACGTAGAAATCACGCCGTTTTCGACTGTAACTCTATTCTTGCGTGCGTATTGTTTGCCGCGGGAACATATTTACCGAACCTTTGCCCAGAAACTGTCGTTGTTTACAGAGTCGTCGCTTAACAACATGTCTATACGCGACAATATCAGACGGACCTCTTGACCTTAGGTTTTACTTATATATTTGTAAACGGGCACGAGCGTCCCCAGTGTGTTGTTTGCCGTGGAGTTCTCCCAAACGGTGGCTTCAACCAAGAAGTTTGCGTAGTGCCTTAACTTCTCAAGAATCTCTTGCTTACAAACCATTACAGTTTTCTTAAGAAAACTACTAGAAATGTGGTAACAGTTGAATTTAAAGCGAACTACACTCAGTACCAAAACAAAAATATTTCTGGCCTCTTTCGAGGTCTCATATTAAATAACGAAAACCAGGAAGCCCCAAACCGTCGGAGAGTCATTATTTCTTCCAGCATCCATGAACTCTCTGAAATTATGTACGGAGAGAAAAGATGTTGAATCTTTTAACACAGTTCCCTTCCTAACAATACTCTAACGTGTACAACCTTTGCTATGCAACTATAGCGAGATGGGCAGCGGTTTATACACGTTCCCACAGAAATAAACACGAAAGCAGCAGTAGAAGAGCTGTGTTTTCTATGTACTCTTTGCCCAGTTGTTGTAAGCATGGGACAAGGTTATACCCAGTCGGTTCTGTACGGGAGTCTGTGAAGAGAGGACTTCAGCCCGGAGGCGGAGGAATAGCAATTGTTGCAGCCGTTAGCAGGAACTCTTTAGTAACAAAGTGAGAACACTAGATTGTGCGACAGTACAGTAATGCGGCTCCATGAATTAATATCAGAATACACCACGAAACAACACTAGACCAGGATTAAATGCAGGTCAAAATTTTCACTTCAAACTGACGAATCAACAGATATCTCAGGATTAGTTCCAGTACCTACTTTTGTCATATGTTGTTTTGAAGGAAACATCCAGATATAATTTACGTTCTGTTTACTACTTTCAAAGAGATGTGAAGGAATGAATATTTCACAGCAGAAAGTGTATTTTACTCAAACTGCGTCGGTATAATACTGACGGGGCAGCAGCCTTTTCAGGAGAGAAAGAAAATCAGAAGATCCCAGCGTGAACATTGCGAATTGAGTGATTCATAGAGAGGCTTTAGAGACAGATGACCTTGAACCAAATTGGATTCTCCTGCAAGGAGTGGTGAAAGACGTGAGCTCTGTAAACGCTCGCCCATTGAGCACTGTGAGGTTACGCAGTAGAAAAGATGTCGCGTTTCTTACATTCAAATGTGTTCTTAAAGGATCAGTTGAGCTGAAAGGAACGTGTGCTGATTCTTACTTGACTCTGGTTCTGCACTGTATCAATTTTACTTTTTAATATAAGAAGTGCCTTGCTCTTCTTTGTCATATCTGCCGGACATATCTCAT